AGAGCGGACATTTCAAAAAACGCCGAAGCCCAACGAAAAAGTACCGGAGCCCGGAAGTGACCAGTCAGTCGAGTTCCGCCTCCGGATCAGCCACTAGTCAGGACGAGTGGCTCACAACCGATTCAAACTTAAGGAAGGAGAAAAAGAAGGTAAACATCCGAATTAAAGAAAAACCGGCGGGAGCATTCATGATTAAGCATGTTGCAAAGGAAGAGCATCTGACCCCACTTCAGGTGGCTGTTACCTTCAAAATAAAACTAATGAAAATTGTGAGTTTCTGTTCACAGGACCGGATCATCGGACACCCCTGTAACCAGTACGCCCCGGTGACAAGCGTCCCGCCCGAGCCTGCGAGTTCCACGCTGACCGAATCCAGAAAACAACAAAACAGCATCCACAGGAGGGGGCCGCGATGCCTTTGCGTTATCTTAATTTTGCAGCTTGTCACTATAGGACAGGTAGAGTCACACCAGCCCTTTAAATGGGGTACTTGAACAGATCGAACAATCTCGAGCAATTAGTACAAAAATAACTACAGGGCCACCAGTTTTCAGTGCCATGCCTTGCCAACTAGCATCCATTGAACCCTGTTCCAAACGCAGCCGGTACAAAAATTTGTTCACCGGTTCGCCGTGGTTAACCCCCCTGATATCCACCTTGATAGGGCTGATCACAATGATCATGATGACGCTAATCTTTGGACCCTGTATATTGAATAAGCTCATGCCGTTTGTCAAGAATCAGCTAGAGAAGGTTAACATCATGTTAGTAGAACACCGACAACTGCTTTAAGAATATATCCACTCAGTATTACCCCCAAGTTATCCCAAGGTATACCCTATTCCTACACCCTGGTATTACCTGTCATCCCCTACCTTCTATGCGCCTTCTTCTTTGTGCCTTATGTTTTATGTCAAGTTTATGATATGTAATTTTAAGATTGGTATAACTATAAGAATAGAATAAGATAGTAATAAGAATAAGATAGTTGTATTTTAGCTAGTTTTGTTATGCATAGGGAGGGGGGAAATTGTTGCAGATAGTTAGGGAATGGCGTCCGGAAGATATCGTGCTGTACGGAAAGATAGGGCCCCTAATAGCCAATAGTGTTTAGTTTATGATGTAAGCAGACGGATGTGACGTTGTAAACCAAGCTATATAACACCTTGTTACCCATCAATAAAGGCCATTTGCCGTCCACCACATTGGTGTCAACTAGCTGATGGCCCAAGTGGCTTGGGGGTGGTCGCCGTGCCGTCCCTGAACCAGGTCGCTGCGCCATTTGAACTGCAACATTTTTATTATCTGTTTTTAGATCTTTATGATTTAAGAAAGCCAATCTTTCACAGTCGGTAATGTTATTTGCTATCATTACTGTAGAAGTTTAATGGATATGAAATAACTGCAAGGAGGAATGAAAACTTACCAAATACATTTAAACTTTTTTTTTTTTTCTCCTTATTCTGTTCTCTCCCATGTACCCCTTTCCCTTCATTTTGGAATGAATACAAACTCCATTTACTTCTCTTGAAGTATGATAGGATGCAGTCGCTGCATGCCTTTGTGTTCAGTCTCTTGTGATATTTTTAATGTGGTTTGTTTTTATATTGCAGTGATCTAGGAATCTTAAATCATGTATTTTTTTTCCTCCCTATAATATGTTGTTTATTTATGGGTAATGAAAAATCTGTGCAGTGAAATCGAGAATGCAAGGTTTCCTATATGGAATTGCTCGACTTTGCATGGACCTTGATTCACACTTGGATGAATTGATACAAAGTTTGGAAAGGTGGAAGGATGAGGAAAGGATTTGTTTCCCTTTTAACTATTACAAAAACAAGCAAACAAAAAAACCTTTATCCATCTTTACTGTACTACAATTAGAATATAGGTACTTTTCATTTATTTGCAAGCCATATACATACTTGAAAGTAAATTCCATTTTAATTTAATTTGTCAGTGCATGGTGATTCACCAGAGTCGATGAAGATGTTTGACAACTTTGCCTGCATAAATCACTGTTGAAAAAGCAAATATACAAATATTAGAGGAAAATGAAATTTAGAATACAACTTTTCAGGAGGTTTAGTGGATAATGTGTATGACTAATAGCAAATCTCCATTTAGGATAATTTTATGGGGTGCTTCTTGTCAAGTTTTTCTTCAAGTTCTTTCTTGTCAAGTTCTTTTCTTCATTTGAAGAGAATAGAACAGGACACTATGGAATAATTGTTTCCTATTGTATTCCTATTCCTAAGAATTTCCTATACTGCCAGAGTCGAGCTTATAGGTGATCACATTGATTAGTAAATTCCAGTAGAGATTTGAACAATCCTGATACTATACTGGCACATAAAACCAGGCTATAAAAAGAGTTAAACCACAATCTGTTCTTTGTGTGAGAAGGTAATACTGCTTAGATTAACCACAGCCCATGATAAGATTTCCCTATCTTCATGCACTTTCTGATGCCATGCTTCTTTCTCTCTCAGTTATAACTACCACTAAGTTTTGTTTTTTTTGTAAGAAAAAAAGCATTTAAATGAAATGTTATTTAAACACAAACAGCAATTCATATTATACTGAATAAAATAGATTTTATACATATTAAAAATAAACAAACAAACAACAAAAAAAAACAGCTGAAGGCTAAAGCAGGGGAAGCCATAGGGCTTGGAGAGGAAAGATTCTTTTGTCCCATGTACAATAATTTCCCTTACATCTAAAATAGACTGCAGCATTTACAGTTCTAAAAGTGGCAATAAAAATTACTGTGGAAATATTAGTCTATTAGAGTACTGGAGATGTAGCTTTCCTTTCTAACAACATCATGAACTATTTTGGATTGGCTTCACCTGTAAGTACTGCATATAGTATTGTAAAAATAATAACTGATAGCATTCTAAATCCATAAATAGGCTTATATAGTTAATTTTCATTTTTTTAAATTCCAATTTCTAATGAGTAAATGCTTTTGTTTTAAAAAGTGAAAAAATAACTATATTCATGCTTTTGATTCATAATATCATAAAGTCCTAAAACTATAAGGTGTATGTTAAAAAGTGTGAAGGAAAAGGACAATAGTGTCTGTGAAATGTTGCAATTTGAAAGCCGTAGTGGTGACGGGGGCGGAAGGAGATATCAAATCAGTGTCGGATTCACAAACAGTCTGTGGAGCGTAGGTCCGATCGCCTTCCTAGGAGCGAATCGAGTTCCCAAATAGTGTGATTAACTATAAGCTCGACTCTGGCAGTATCAGATTCACGAACAGTCTGTCAACTGTAGGTCCGATCGCCTCCCCCCAAACAAGTAGTCGAGTTCACAAACAGTATGATTTATTCAAATGCAACATTTACAAAGCAGGTTTCGGATGTCAGTACAGGAAATTCTCTACTACAGCGTGGGGTTTTTCTCTAGCTCTGATGTACAAATGTGCAATCATCACTCACCCCAGAAGGAGTATCCTCAGGCGGCGTTCCAGTCCAAGGGGAGGAAAGGGAGATCAGCCCATCAACTGACCCAGGAGTTACAATGGATTCTTCCCTCTCCCTTTTCATCCTTAGTTCACCTTTTATACTTTTCTTTACATTCAGGTGGAGCTTGAGTGACTAGAGTCATACGTAATATTGTTATTGATTGGTGAAAAAGTTTCTCGCTTTCATTTAAAGGTACAGTCAATC